CTAGGACACAGGCTGTATGTTGAAGGTAGCATGTCCTTTCATTATTGATTCATTATTGATATATCTGATCACTGTCTTTGTGTATGTGTGTGTGTGTGTGTGTGTTTCTGTTTCAGGTGCAGTCTCAGGTGCAGCAGATGTCCGTCAGGCTGCAGGTGGAGCAGGAGCAGCGGCAGCAGCTGGAAAAACAGCTGCAGCAGGTCAGAGTCACATCTGGAACATCTGTCACACGTTCACACACTGACGACAGGAAGTGAGGTCAGACTCTTTCCTTTGTTGTTGTTTTTCAGGCTCAACAGGAAGTGATGGAGCTGCAGCAGCGGGTGGAGGCTGATCAGAGATCTGAGGTTTCTGTCTCTTCATGCATTCTTCATGCCTCGATCGTTGTTTAGACTGACGATTTAAACCAAAGTTAAAATGGGGTTTTGGTGGCTTGGTGGATAGAACAGGTGCCCCATGCACAAGGCGGTTGCCGCAACTGCTTGGGTTCGAGTCCAGCCTGTGGCCCTTTGCTACATGTCATTCCCTCTCTCCCCCCTTCATGCTTAGCTTCCCTATCAATTAAAAGCAAAAATGCCCAAAAGTATATCTAAAAAAAAAAAAAACAGGTTTAATGTCTGTGTACTGAGACAGGAAGTGTGGCCTCGTCAAAGTAAAAGTCATGAGAGGATTTAAGTAAAAGTCACATGTAGAAGTTCGGGCACCCCTGGTTTAATATTAGATGAGTAGAAGATGAACTAAGATCCAGCTTTTTAATTTCATCTTTTACAGTTTCAAAATAACAAAAAATAAAAAGGGTCTGAAGCTAAAGTTTGGACTCCTACATGGTCAGTGCTCAGTAGCGCCCCCTTCCTCTAAACACTGTTTGTATCCAGCTCAGAGTCTTTCAGGAGGATTTCTTCTTGGGCCGTCTTCATGCTCTGCTCTTTGAGCTCTATCCACAGATGTTTAATGATGTTTAGGTCGGGGGACTGTGAGGGGCGTGGCCAAATCTTCAGCTTGCTCCTCCTGAGGTCGTCCATTGTGGATTTGGAGGTGTGTTACGGATCATCCTCTCTTCATCTTCAGCTCTGTTACAGATACTGTGATGTCTGGAATTTAATTGATCCATTCTTCCCTCTACCTGTGAAATGTTCCCCGTGTCACTGGCTGCAACACAAGCCCAAAGAGTCATCCATCCACCCCCGTGTTTAACCGTTTGTTCTCCAAACATACCTTTGCTCATTGTGTCCATTCATTTTCAACTGTTTATCTGGGGTCAGGTCTCGGGGGCAGCAGGCTGAGCAAAGCACTCCAGACGTCCCTCTCCTCATCAACACTCTCCAGCTCCTCCTGGAGGACCCCGAGGTGTTCCCAGACCAGATGAGATCTATAATCCCTCCAGTGTGTTCTGGGTCTGCCCCGGGGCCTCCTACCAGCTGGACCAGGAGGATCCTGATCAGATACTGAACCACCTCAACATGAAGGAGCAGCGGCTCTACTCCGAGCTCCCTCCAGATGTCTGACTCCTCCCCCTATCTCTAAGGCTGAGCCCAGACACCCTACAGAGGAAACTCATTTCAGACGCTTGTATCTGTGACCTCATTCTTCAGTTCTACCCTCACTCGTGAACAAGACCCCAAAATACTTGAACTCTTGTAACAGCAACCTTTACTTGTTGTGTCCAAAAAGTTCTATTTTACCTTCATCAGTCCACAGGACTTGTTTCCCAAAAGCATCAGGCTTGTTTCAGTGTTCCTTTGCAAACCTGTGAGGCTGAATTTCGTGGTGAGGACACAGGACAGGGTTTCTTCTGATGACTCTTCCATGAAGCTCATATTTGTCCAGGTGTTGCTGCACAGTAGAACAGTGCACCACCACTCCAGAGTCTGATAAATCTTCCTGCAGGTTATTTGCAGTCAAACAGGGATTTGGATTTGCCTTTCTAACAATCCTACGAGCAGCTCTCTCACAGAGTTTTCAACTTGACCTCCACAGTTCCTGTTAACTGCCATTTCTTAGGGTGCTTTCATACCTGCCCTGTTTGGTCCTGTTCAAAGGAACTCTGGTGCGGTTGGTTTGTGGTGAGAAGGTGTTCCGACCTGGATGTGAAGCAACTGCAGTCACATGACACATTGTTTGGGTTAAACATGAGCATGTTACAGTCCTGGAGGATTATTAATGTGCACCTCCTCCTGTACTGCCTTAATATGCACATTCAGCACATCCAATGCATCAAAACATTGTTTTCTAGTTGGAGCCGCGCCTCGTTTTCAAACTGTATGCTTTGACTAAAATGAACAATGACAGCAATATAGTCCACGATGAGCAGCGCTAAAATCAACCTGCGTAGTTGTCCCTCCATTGTGACATTAGAAAGTGTCACATTTATCTTGCAAGTGTACTCTTCTTCAACGTTTGCTTTACTTCCTGGATTTTTCCCACATGGAAATTCTGACCAATCAAGAGCAGCTTTCTCACACAAGGCATTTGATCTGGTCCTCTTGTAAATGCTGCCGTGAGAACACGAACCAACTCTAGGCAATTATACAACTTTGTAACAACATGAGTTCCTGATTCAGACCATAGGAGACCACTCTAGGGCTGACAGCAGCCTGAATGACATGACCAACTCTCTGAAAACACTTTGCTATCTTCTTCTAGTCTTCATCAGGTCTTTTAGTTTTCAGAGTGCTAGGCAGCTGTTTAGAGGAGCCCATGGCTGCTGATTGCTGGGACACGGTTTCAGGAGTCAGTTGAAATTTGCATCAGTTGGCCTTTCCTAATGATGACTGTGAACAATGCAGAGTCCTAACAAGCTCATTAAGCTCTGAGACCCTGGGAACAGGTGTCTCACAGCTCAAATGTCTTGGGGTGTCCAAACTTATGGATGGTGCTTCTTTTTTTTACTCTAAAACTGTACAAAATAAATTAACACACTGATCCATATTGGGGGGGGTGGGGGGGTAAATCAGCTACTCAGGATTTTTCAAGCAACAAAATTTCATTTCGCTTTTACTTTGGAGAGAATTTAGATGTCAGTCTTTCAAATGAAGGCAAATGTCTGACTTTTAGAGTCTGAATTCTTCTGTTTCTGCAGGAGGTGAAAGAGGAGCTGAAGGTGGAGGCAGTCCAGGTGAAGGAGGAGACGCCAGTGTGAAACACACTTTGTTTCCCTCGTGTCTTGTCACCATGGTTACATGCAGCAGAGGTTGCGGCTTCAGCGGAGAGACAGAAACCATTGATGGTGATGATGATGATGGTGATGATGATGAAAAGTGACCAAAGTTAAATATGTTTTCTTTCACTGTGACAAATAAACTGTAACGTCTGAATCTGACGTTGTTTTTTCTTCCTCTGACTGATTCTGTTTTCATCCAAATATTTTACTCGACTTTAACCGTCGGTCTGGATCTGTTTGTTCCCACGGAAACATTATGAGATGAGATGATGGGTTATCGAGAGGAAGTCTTGTGTCATGCTAACATGCTAATACCAACATATGGGACAGCAGAGAGATACAAACAGTGATGACAATAGATACATTAATTTTAGTAATAATAATAATATTTTGGTTGTATATATGTTTACACACCGCTCTATAAACTGAGGGGAACTCTTAAATCTCACATCAGATCCTGATGAACTACTAAAGTGTAAAATCTTTTCTGATGAACACTGTATAATTAGTTGAGAACAAAATGACGTAACAACGGTCAGTGGGAACCAAAATCATCGACCAACTGAGGGCTGGATTCAAAATCAGAGTCAAACATATAAATCACAGGCTGATCCATATCTCAAAAACAGCTTGGGGGGATTTCATCAAATTTGGCACGAATGTCCACTTTAACATGCAAAGATCAAGGTCACTGTGACCTTATTTAGTTCTTATGAATGCAATATCTCAAGAACTCTGAGGGAGTTTGGACTCAACAATAAACCAAAGTCACTGTGACATCGCGTCTGTCCCATTCTCATGAATGTGGTATCTTGAGAGGGAGGGGATTTCTTCAAATTTGGCACAAACTTGAACTCAACGATAAACTGCTTTGATTTTAGCAGGCAAAGATCAAGGTCACTGTGACCTTACCTGTCTAATTGTTGTGAATGTGATATCTCAAAAACACCATGGGGAAATTTCTTCAAATCTGGCACAAACGTCCACTTGGACTCAGGTAAGTTCAATTTTATTTATGAAGCCATTCATCATGTACATGAACAAAGATGAAGAGCATTTAAACCAGCTTAGTGCAGAACCTATAAACGTTCCGGTCTCTTTAACGGGACGTGGTGGTCAGTGTGTCAGAAACAGAACTAAGATTTAGATTTCTCAGCTGATTTACGGACGTTTATTAAGAAAGAAATCTAACTGCTTTGACATAAATGTTCTAGAAGGATAAAGACTGTTTTTTATACTCACGTTTGACTTCGGTCCTAACTGTCCCCGTCATGTGACTGAACCTGGGGGTGTCCACTCGTCCATCCACAAACACAAACAACACCTCGACAGATGAAAGCCAATTTTATTGATCAAGTAACATAAATAGGACAAATGTTTCACTGTACATACAACCTGGAAACCAAAGTAAAAATAAATATTGTCACAGCAATAAATTAAAAGCATGAAATGGACCAATAGACTGTTAGTTTGGAGTCAGTCGGTGAGATGAGACGTTGAGTCGTGTCCGTCTCCGAGGACAACAGTGCAGTTCGATGGCTATTTACACACATTTTATTTTACACACGTTAGGTTTTCACTTTCGGCAGCCGACATTTCATTTCACACTCGTCTGTCTTCAGTTCACATTTTCACAACTTCAATAACTTCAGCAACAATTTAAAAAAACTAAGAAAAGCAAAAAGCAGCGGCTGATTATTAAAAACCTTTAGTTACATGTTACAACAGCGTCATCACAGCTATCAACGTTTCTTTAATACACCGTCAGTATCAAATACTTCAGTCAGCAGGTTACAAAAATATCACACAGACTCCCGTTTTATTATTACTGAGCATCTTCAGTTCCTACGACACCGAGGCGTCAGTGAACGCAGCAGCTCTCAACCTTCAGTTCAGCTCCTTGGCCCCAGAACCTACCAGGAGGAACCAGAACGCACTAGAACAGACCAGGAGGAACCATTAGGAACCAGAAATAATAAGAATGAACCTGAATGAACCACAGGGAACCAGAACAAACCAGTAGGAACCAGAACTGACCAGAAGGAACCTGAATGAACCAGAGCAGACGAGCGTAATCTAGGACAAACCAGAAGGGACCAGGGGGAACCAGAGCAGACAACAAGGAACCGGAAGGAACCTGAATGAACTGGAAGAAACCAAAACAGACCAGAAGGAACCAGAACCAGTAGACCTTTGTCCCTGAAACTGTTGGTGCCCATCAAAACTTTGGGACACTGAATGTGACAAACGATGGTATCTGCTGTTCTGCAGCATCCTCATATTTTTCAAATATAAATCAAATATCCAAAAGAATCACAGCTCGATTTTACAGGATTCTGGGGAATCGAGAACTCGTCATGACATTCGCATGTACCACCTTTCCACCAAATTAGCTCTGGTTCTTGAACCGGTTCCATTCAGGATTCTTGGAACTTTGGTGCTATCCAGTTAATCAGCCTGAACCAGCGTCATCAAGGATGCGTCGTCAAAGAGGGACATTGCACAACAGAAGTAAATGGTAGCAGCAAGGTTGCCTGTTACCAACTAACTACCGTTTGTCTTTTTGTTTTGCAGCAACAAAATGTATTTTAAGGCAAAACATGATTAAGTGATTTTTGTTTTTTTTTACTGAACAATGATCTGCCTTGAGCTGCAGATCATGTTTGAGCCTCATGATTAAGATAACAGCCTTTTAAGTCCAATTCAGCCCCAACATCACGAACAGATCTAAATGTTTAATCACACGGTGGCTTCTTTTTCATGATTTGGTGCTTTAACTTTGCAGCGTTGTCGATGAAAGCAAACTAATTTGTCCGCGAACTATTAAATTCTCTGTTTTCCCTTTTTGGATTTGGAATCCACGGCTAGCCTCGCGACCAAGACTCAAGACGACTGCAGCCATCGCTAGTGAGGTTTTTAGAGGAAAAGGCGCCAGGTCGTACGAATGATGCATATTTTGGTTTGAAAAATGTTAAAACATTTTTTTAAATCTGTATAAAAGCTACATGTTTTTACAGCTGAAAAATGTAATTATCACTTAGCCGCAGGTTGCCGACCCCTGACCTAAACAACGGTTGACCACAGCGTTGTTGAAGCTCCAGAACAGCTGCTGAGTGGACCTGCAGGTGAGAACTTGTTTGTTTTTAAGATGCAAATCCTGGTGTCATGTTACTCACGCATATGTACTGGAGTGTACTTTTGGAGTATTTAGCAGCTGGTGAATATTCACCCTGAACAGCTGTGCTAACTAACTCAGTGGTGAAGGCAGCTAACAGCTAGCATGGTTTACAGTGAAGTCCACCTGACGGCTGGTGATGTGAACGTGGAGGCTCTGAACCAAGACGACAACACCCTTTATTATTTATCATCCTGTCACAGCACCACATCACTCCTTCCTGGTGTTTAATTTTCACATTTAAAGTCCAGCTTAAATTACTCGGAGCGTTTTGCTCAGACACACCTCAACAAAATATCTGACCTGCGTCGCAGACATGCTGTCCTCTGCATTCACTCATGTTTGTCTTCCACGTCAGTAACGTCAGGAGAATCTCACCCAGATCTCAACGCTAGGCTTTCACAATACAGCGTCATGCTAATTTCTTGCTCACGTTCAAAAAATCTAACTCGCGCAAATACACGCATGGCACAAATGTCATGTCTCCACATCGCCCGCTGTGAGTCTGCATCTTTGCACGGACTGTGTGTGTAATTTGGAAAACGCTTGCATCACGTTTGTGCTACGTGTGTGTGTGTGTGTGTGTGTGTGTGTGTTAGCAGCGGTGCAGGTTGTTGATGACGACTGACTCACATGATAAACGTTCACGGCTGTGTTTTTAACATGTGAAGTCATTCATCAGTTTCTGGTGGAGTTCTGTTGATGTTTAAATAACAAACACAAAGTTCTTCCTAATTTCACAGATGTGGCAGAAAACAACGACTCGTACTGGTTAAAACCTTCCATTAAATCTTGTGTCCAGAGACTCTGAGGATCAGACTGGCGCTGAAGTTTTCACTTTATTTCAAGTGTCTGTGAAGCTGAGAGTGACTGTGGTTCCTACTGATGACTTCAAATCTCATCACAAATGTAGCTCATATTAAGTTCTTCTCTCTGTTCAGATCAGGGTCAAAGTTCAGTGTCCATCAGGAGCGTCTGAAAACAGTTTCATTACTTAAGAAAATAAATTTTTAGGGTCTCCTCTGGACGTCCCGTCTGTTTCGGGAGACCAGATGATGATCAAGTTTTTATTTTAGGGAAACTAAGCATGAGCATCACTTTGTCAGAATCCGTCTCGTTTCCTTTTCATGTCGGGTTGAGAGCTGCTGAGCTGAACCTTCAGACCTCACGTCCACCCACTGAGCTCTCGTTCAGTTTCAGTTTCGTGTGCATACAATCACGGCCGGAGCGCCTGACAGCAAACGCCCCGCTGTAGATGAAGAGAAAACTAAATTCAAAATAACATCGTCTGGACACAAACGCTGCAGGTTCTCCAGCGTGTAGCCGCCAACCGACGTCGACTCACTCCTATGTCTTGGTGGCTACAGCTTTCATAGTCCAGCTCTGTGTCCACACACACACACACACACACACACACACACACTCTGCACAACATGGCAAAAATCAAAGCGAGCAACAAAAACTGATGTAAACATTATTTTAGGAAAACAAACAACACCTGAGACTATTTCGTCGTCACATCGCTGCACTGAAACCTGTTGAGTTCTGAAAAAGTTCCTCCTGCTTCCTGATGATGCTAGCCAGGTCAGGTCGCCTTCCTGGCCCTGTTGCCATAGAGACCAATCCCAGCGGTGGTGCCAAGGCGAGGGCATCCGTTTCCCTCCGTCACTCCCAAATATCATACTCTTTTTTCAACAACATGTGTGCGTATACAAGCAGCTGCTTTTGTTTTTGTTGGTTTTGAGCACTTGGAGGATGAATGAGTTTGTCCACTAGGGGGCAGATCAGAGCCGAGTCCTCCTGGTGACACCAAAATATCTTAAACATAACTAAATATGGAAACACTTGTCCAACACGTGAAGTCAGGAATAGTTGGGACTTTGACTCCAGTAATTTGGCGTCTTCTCCGTAAAATTCGAGTAACTCAGAGGAGACTAAATTTAAAACAGAAGGAACAGGAAGATGCTGCCATTTTTCCTCCAAAACCCTCCAATCAGAATTCAAACAGGCCCCGGCTGGCACACATCATCAGACACCAGGAGGATCATGGTTAAGTGACGACTGAACCTCCTCCATCCTGAAATCGTCGGCGCTGCAGCTGAAGCTCATTTTCACATTTTCAGTAAATTCAGCTGAAGCTTAATTTTCATAAAAACCTCTCGAGGTGAAAATTTACAGCGCAGGAAACGAACACGTCAGGATCTGTTAAACAGCAACAGGCGAAAGACGCGTTTAGCCTAGCTTAGCACAAAGACAGGAAGCACGGAGTGTTAGCATAGCCATCCGAGGATGCTGTCCCAGCAGGACACGTCACAGCGAGATTAATCTGTCATCGGGAAATATTTAGTTCTGAGTCTCAGTGACTCACAGTCATGTTGGTGAATTACTGTAGCCACCAAGCTAAACGCTAGCATGCTGGCGAGCCTGGAACGTGATAGATTGTTCTCCGTGCTGTTCAGACTGAATCACCGTGGCGGATGATTTGAATTGCAGAGAAATCAGCAAACTTTATTTCTGTTGTCCCTTTTAGCCGTAACGTTGTATAGTTAAACATGGTGGTCTGACCTGTCTGATGTGATTATTTTATGTTCTGTGTTGCTTTGCTAATGTCTTTAATGAACCAAATCTACCAAAACAGAAGCTAAACAATTGACCGCTGTGGACGAGCCGCAGGAAAAACATATTTCAGACGCCTAGAAAAAAAAAAACGAATGGAGAAATCGTTCACTATATTTAACGTATATATTTTCATGAATTGATGGAGACAGCAGCAGACTAACTCCTGTGTTCCCCGTCACAGAGGGCAGTCTGACTGTGACGTAAAGCGGTCAAAATATTGTAAATATGGCGAACAATTAAACTGATGTTGATTTTTTGAAGGTGGGCCTTTTTTTCCCAGCTAAAAACTAAGCAGCTGAGGCAGCATGTGTGCAGCATGGTTTGATTTTACATACATGATACGGAGGTTTTCTACCCGTACGTTATTGAAAATAAACAATGTGGTTTGGTCCAGAACAGAAGGTCAAGCGCCGGAAGTAAACTGTAAGATAGCTTGACTTAAGAATGCTAACTGAAAGAAACATAACTGAAAGATAGCGAAGATAGCTAACTGTTAGAAAGCTAACTGTAAGATGGCTAATTGTAAGAAAACTAAATGAAAGATAGCTATCTGAGGGAACTGCCCATTGGTTCGACATCCCATTGTTCCGACCATATTAAACTCATTGTTCCGAAGTCCGTTCCGAAATCATCATGATGCCCTGTGGTTAAGGTCTGGTTAGGTTTAGGCACAAAAACCACTTGGTTAGGGTCAGGAAAAGATCATGGTGTGGGTTAAAATGAAAAAGAAAGTGACAAACACATAAGCCGTGAGCCTGCTCCGCCTCAAGCCTTTCCCAGCTGACCCAGAGCCGGTCGCGGCGCACCATACGCCCGCCGCGAGCCGTTCAGCACCACGGACAGTCGGACTAATGGGATGTCGAACCAATGACATGGACCCCTATCTGAAAGGTCAAGCGCCAGAAGTAAACTGTAAGATAGCTAAACTTAAGAAAGCTAACTGTAAGACAGCTAACTGTAAGAAAGCTTACTGTAAGAAAGCTAACTTAAAGAAAGCTAACTGTAAGAAAGCTAACTGTAAGATAGCTAACTGTAAGATGCTAACTATAAGAAAGCTAATTGTGAGATAGCTAACTTTAAGAATACTTACTGTAAGATAGCTAACTGTAAGAAAGCTAATTGTTAGATAGCTAACCGTACAAAGTCTAACCAAAAAATAGCTAACTGGAAGAAAGCTAACTGTCGGCTAGCTCTTGACCCTCAGCTCTAGTTTACTACTCCTGGCTGACTGTAGGATGCAGTGGGTTAGCTAACAAGAATCAACCTCTTAATCAGACATGAAAGCTAACCCTGAGCTAACCAGACCAAGGAACTAATATTTGTGTTTTAATCCAGGGTTGTTTTTTTTGTTTGTTTTTTTGATTAATAAATTCAATTCATTTTATGATTCTTATTATTAACCTTTATTTAACCAGGTAATAGACTCATTGAGATTAAAATCTCTTTTACAAGAGAATCCTGGCTAAGAAAGGCAGCAACGCAGATTCCTGAAAACAAGACATAAAGGTTATGACGCACAACAAGATGGGTCTATGGGAGCCCTGTAATCTCAAACTTGACTGTTCGCTTTAGAGATGCAGATAGAAAATAATAATAAGATATAAAATGTAAATCAGAAAGATTTACTATGTTGGAGCTAGGCTAGCATTTTCTCTCTGCTTCCAGTCTCCAGTCTGCTAAGCTAAGCTAACCATGTCCTGGACCTGTTTCTGTTCTGTACACAACATTTGGTTTAAATATCATATTTATAATATCTGAGCTTCAACTGCAGCAGGGAAAACAGACGTTGGTGTTTGTAGGCGTCAAAGATCAAATTCTCTCAAAACCTTTTCAAACTAAAATGAAGGAAAACACGTCTTGGAACTAATTCTACAGTAGAGAGACGACTGGGTTTAGAAGCACTGGAACTTGTTCGCCGGATGTCGTTTTAGTTACCTGGTGATGTTACTGAACCCTTCATGGTGCAGGTTGGCGTACAAAATAAGCTACTGGACACACGCGCATGCACACACATGCACACGCATACGGGCGCGCGCGCGCACACACACACACACACACACACACACACAGTGTACGCCTCAAAACGCACACAAACAGAAAACATTTTCCCTTGAGAGTTCTGACAGCTTCAGGCATCGAGGGCAGACGGTCCAGACGAAAAGCGCTGCTCTTCTGCGTCTACCCGAGCTCAAACTACTCGACTGCTACTGTCAGAGTGTCTTCACAAAGTTCTCCCCATGAATGAAAAGAGTTCTGATTGCTAACCCTACACAGACACAAACATCCCCGTTCCCTTTGTCAGGTTTCATGATTTAAGGTAGTTCGGGTGAAATCAAAACCAGAAAACAAATGTTCCAACGGCAGGCAGGAGGATGTGCCGCTAAGACCGGGGGGGGGGGTGTAGCGAGTTCACTGGCCACCACAGTCCCATGATGGATGACATCATCCGAGGGTGGTGACGTCATTAATCCAGACAGCACTTTTATCAACATGCAGCCAAATCTTGGCAGGTCAAAAAAAAACTTCCAGGTGATGTGTCGAACACAGCAGCAGAATCCATGATGCACAGGTTCCACAAAAAAAAGGAAAACGGCGAAACAGGGAAGGGAGACTGCGATGCATCTGCGTAAGCGAGGCTTCTACCACTACGACAGCTGGCGGTTGGCGACTTATTTAGCACTCCGATGTTGGAGGACAGTGGTGACGACGGAGGTTTGTTTGGAGGCGTTCACCAGAAAAAGACAGCGTCAGCATCAGCTTTGCCCCCATGACAGGTCGAGTCCCGGCGACCCGCGGTGGGATCAGGAGTCAAGACACGAGTGCGAACGAACAAAATCCAGCCCAGGCACGAATTTTTAAACCCTGCCCCTAACCCCGAGAAAAAAACAAAAACAAAAACTTTTGGCTTTGTGGTTATGTACAGTGATTTCCTGTGGAGACAGTTTGACGTCCATCAAGTTTACACAGATGTGCAGGACTGGATGTTGGCGACCCGGCGCCGGCGTCAAAGGTCAAGGTCAAGTCTTCGAGCTGGGAGGGGGCGGAGCTAACCGTGTCAGTCAGTCTGTATGCGTGTGTGTTAATGTGTGTGGTGATTCTCCAGTCAGCTTTATTTTGTAACTGTTGTGTGGGTATGGACCCTCAACTAGCTCCGCCCCACCCTCTAGCTCCACCCCCCGCTACTGGTGAACCTCGTTGGCGATCAGACTGTCCTCCCCTGACTGAAAATCCGCCTCATTGATGCTGTTCCCTCCGTTCAGCATCTCCTCGTCCTGGGACGACCCTCGGTCCTCCTCGCCGCTGCCACCGCCCGGCTCGTCTGAGTTTGGGTCCTGAAGCACCTGGGCGATGTACATCTGCTGCTGCTGCTGCTGCTGCTGCTGCTGCTGCTAGACCACAGAAGACACAACAGGTTAACCAGCGGGGACAGACAAAACCACGATGGCCAAAAGTTAAAGCTAGCTTGTTGGTAAGCTAACAACCCCAAGAACTACAAGTTCATGTGTCTGCAGACAGGAGACGTTGAGTGGGTGTGGTAACTGTCAGGGACTTTATTTGGCCAATCAGAAGCCTACTCTGTCATGTCAACGAGCAGTTGAGGACATTTGGGGCATAAAGTGGACCTCTGTGGGGGGGTCTGGGGGATCCTCTCCTGTCACTTATTTCAAAAACAAGCTCCATTTTGATCATTTTTATGCACTCTAAAATTGTATTTATTTATTTTGTATTTTAATTTATTTTCATTCACAAACAGAAAAAGGTTGGGGGCCTCCCAGTACCCCCTTGGAGGCCAGATTTGGCCCGCGGGCCGTAAGTTGAGGATCGCGAGAGTATGAAATGATACAGCAGACTGACAAAAAAACATTCAGAAGATGATCACTGGCTTGTGCCTACCTCATTAACTCATTTATAGTAACTGAAGTTTAATGTTAGTAACTTTAGCTACTGCTGATTTTAAAAAAAGTCCATCACAAGAAAACATGCTCTTTGCTTGTTACTAGCTAGCAGCTGGTAAAGCTAGCTAACGCTGTCTGCTTATCAACTCCTTGATCATAACAGAATATAGTAACTTTAACCACTGCCCATTTTTAAAAAGGCCACCACAAGAAAACACATTCTTTTGTAAGAAAGAATGAGCAGTGGTTAAAGATGTTGATAAGCAGACAGCGTTAGCTAGCATTACCAGCTGCTGGCTAGTAACGAACATCTGTGATCCACTGTCTGTTTAAGAATCTAAAAAAAAGACCACGTTTTCTGATAAGCAGACAGTGTTGGCAACCGTAGCTCACTAATGTAGTGTACTAGCTAGTCGGTAAGTTGTCTACTTCTACTTTCAGCGGGCAGTTTTGATCCTGGGGCTAAGATTGTTTTTTACAATAACAATCCTACAAATATTTATTAGCCCGCTGTATCATCACAACCTTTTTGGTTGAAGTAATAACGTAAATGTCTAAATGTCCTGACTGTGTTTCTTCCCCCTTATAATACTGTGAGGTGATTGGCTGAATTTAAAACTGATTGACTGATGCTACTTTGACTTCGTCTCCGGTCTGCAGAGACACCCTGCTCAAGAAATACAGATGTAGTTCATAAGTAAGCTAACAAACTCAAAGGCTATGCTAGTTTGTTAATTAACTACTAACTCAGGAGCTGTTTTTAGCAAGCTAACAACCTCAACAGTTACAGCTTGTTTGTAGCAGGCTAATAAATAGAGCTAGCGCGGCTTAGCTGGATCCACTCACCTGAGATTTGGTAGTGGGGGAGGACGACGGACGAGCTGGACGTCCATTCTCGACAGCGTCCACGTCATTCTCCTTGGTGTCGATCTGAGACGGAGGCACAGTGAGACAGGGCGCTGAACAGCAACACTTCTGTTTCCTACATGTTTGTGTACCCTGGAAATCCAGAGTTCTCGCGAGAGCACAATTTGAATTTGCTCAGCGAGTCACTCTGGCAATCAGCAATGATGCTCATTACCTATGCCCATGAAATCGAGCTGCACCAATCACATCGGTGTATCTGATATAGGCGGGCCAGAGGCGAGCTAAACAGATTACGACAGTTCTGCGACTATGTAGTCCTGAATCAGTCAGTAAACATTGCAAGATGCCTACGGATGAACACCAGTTGTTTGAAACGGCTTTGGCCGCTACAATGAACGAGTTAGACTTGGCTTTTTCTTTAAAAGAGGAACAGAAGACGGCGCTCGAGTCTTTCCTTTGCAAGAAGGACGTTTTTGCTGTTTTGCCGACCGGATACGGCAAGAGTCTAATCTACCAGTTAGCTCCGCTGGTAGCTAAGTGTATACGTCACCCCGTGTATTGTTCTGATTGGCCGTAGTGTTATCCAATTGTGTGCAGTGATATTTACAAATGCAGTTGGGCCATTTTCATTACTCATGGCCAGACCCTAAATCTTTCTAGATTTGGGTCTGGATTTCCAGGCTAATGTTTTTGTAGAACCTGTAATAATAAAGTGGCGGTACCTTGTAGTTGTGAGCGCTGAGGTACTTGAAGTGTCCGAAGCAGACGTGAGACAGACAGACCACGATGGTGACGATCAGCACCACCAGAGTGAACATGGAGGTCGGCGTCTCAAAACCTGACAGCATATTAACAGTTACCATCACTCCGCATTCAACAACAACAAATACATGTTGATATTTACAGGTGTGTCACCTGCTGGGGCTCACCTGTGCGCATAGTGGAGAAGAAAAGCAGCCAGAAGAGGCAGAGGATGGGAGCTGCCACCACCTGGGTGACGGCTCCCGAGTGGATCTTCTTGTCCAGTTTGGAGGGCAGGTAAGCATAGTACATGTTGTATCTGTCCACCAGGTGTTTCAGCAGCATGTACATCAGACCTGCAGGGGGACAGGTGAGTGGCTAAATCACACAGTCGCACAGATGACTTCATAAAATCAACCTTTTGGATATAACAAGTCATCTCTTGATTATTTTATTCTAGTAGATATGAGTGTGAAATATTTTCATAAGTAGCATATAAATTCTTGAGTTATGGCCAAAAACATGTTTTGTGTATCATTGAGTCCACGTGGATATTTTTGCCAAATTTGAGGAAACTCTCTTGAGGCGTTCTTTAGATATCGTGTTCACGAAATGAGAAGGATGTAAGGTCACAGTGACCTTTGACTACACAAACTCCAAACAATTCATTGCTGAGTATTTATTAGATCTTAGTGCCGCATTTGACACAATTGACCATCAAATTCTGCTACAGAGACTGGAACACTTGATTGGCCTAAAAGGTTCAGCACTACGCTGGTTTAAATCCTATTCATCCAACGGATTTCAGTTTGTTCACGTTCATAATGAGTCATCCTTACATACTAAAGTTTGTTTTGGAGTTCTGCAAGGTTCTGTGCTCGGACCAATCCTATTTACTCTATATATGCTTCCTTTAGGTAACATCATTAGAAATCACTCTATAAATTTCCATTGTTATGCGGATGATACACAGTTGTATTTATCGATGAAGCCAGAAGAAAGTAATCAATTAACTAAACTCCATAACTGCCTTAAAGACATAAAAACTTGGATGAGCACCAATTTCCTGATGTTAAATTCAGACAAAACTGAAGTTATTGTTCTTGGCCCCAAACAACTCAGAGACTCTTTATCTGATGACATAGTTTCTCTAGATGGCATTGCTCTGGCCTCTAGCACTACCGTAAGAAACCTCGGAGTAATATTTGATCAAGATTTGTCTTTTAATTCTCATTTAAAACAAACGTCACGGACTGCATTTTTTCATCTGCATAACATTGTGAAAATTCAGCCTATCCCGTCCCAAAAAGATGCAGAAAAATTGGTCCACGCTTTTGTTACCTCAAGGCACTTATAGTTAGGACTGGCTCTTATAGTTAGAACTGGCTCTTATAGTTGGGGTTGGCTCATATAGTAAGGACTGGCACTTATAGTTAGGACTGGCACTTATAGTTAGGACTGGCACTTATAGTTAGGACTGACTGTTTTAGTTAGGGCTGGCTCTTATAGTTAGAACTGGCTCTTATAGTTAGGACTGGCTCTTATAGTTAGGGTTGGCTCTTATAGTTAGGACTGGCTCTTAAGCCTAATTTATGGTCCCGCGTTAAATCAACGACATCGCTATGTCGTAGGGTACGTGGCTACGCAGAAGGCTCGCCGTAGCCCCCGGCGTAGCCTGACGTGCACCTCCCCAAAAATGTAACTACACGTCTAGGCGACGCAGACCCAGCGCAGACCAAGAGGGCTGTGATTGGTTTGCTTGGTAGCAACGCATTTCCGGTTCTGTATTTCCAGATTGTCCATCCCCGCCATCTTTAAACATCTTCTGTTGCGATGTAGATGTTGCAGTATTAAGGCCCATTTATGCTCAACTTTCAATACGGATACGGACTGATATGGACGGAGCCGTCTATCTGTGCTCCGCGTTCATTTCTCTGTGACCGGAAAAGCCGGAAGCTAAACAAAGAATCAACTAGAGACAACGATAACCATTCAGGAAAGGAACGCAGCCTCCTACCACTCTGGCGGTGAATTGCACCGCCACGAAATGGAGTGACGGAGAAGTTCGAAGGGTTCACAACGGCGTCACGGCAACGACGTAGGTACGTCGTAGGTACGCCACAGGACCATAAATCAGGCTTTACAGTTAGGACTGGCTATTTTACTTAGGGCTGGCTCTCAGGCTGGGGTTTTTTGGGGAGTTTTTCCTTATCAGCTGTGAGGGTCAAAAGGACAGAGGGATGTCGTATGCTGTAAAGCCCTGTGAGGCAAATTGTGATTTGTGATATTGGGCTTTAAAAAACAAAAAATTGAATTGAATTGAATATAAGTGGACATTTGTTCTGAGTTCTGAAGAAATTCCCTAAGGCGTTCTCAAGATATTCAGTTCACAAGAACCAGAAGAACGGACGGACAAACCGAAAACATAATACCTTTGGCTTTGGCTATCACTGGCGCAGAGGCAAAAGAATGATCCTGGCATGAGTGACAGGAAACAGAGTCTGTAGAGTCGTTTTAAAAACACCTCTGTGTACCAGCATGAATACGTCAGCACTGACGTTGTGTTACAGACACTGTACAATGGGGTGTTGTGTAGGTGAGTCTAACCGAAGGGGACGATGATGGGGCAGGTGATGCTATAGGCCATCACCACCGTGAAGACGTTCATCATCCAAGCGTACGCCGCTCCAAACTGAAACTCATAGGCCTGGTGCTGGAGGGATGAGAGACATGTTTTAAACAGGACTGTCAGATAATTAACAAACACATCTCAGTCAGTGTCTGTCTCCTTGGTCCGTGTCCGTCCTCACCCTCTTGACGTTGCGGCGGTCGGCAGCGGAGCGAGCCAGGCACAGCCGAATCATGTACATGAGCAGACCGGGGATCCTCAGCAGGTCCATGGCGTTCCCAATGAACGCAGAGGCGATGACATAGTTGACGAAGAACGCTCCGTTATCTGGCAGGAAGACGCACCTGGAGGGGACACAGCACCTCCGTAAGAGCACAACGTCCTGCTACTGATCGATCAATCACACTTTATTAAGTATTAATACACTAAACCGCTTCAAAATAGAAATACATATAGGCTACAGAAATTGTTATCACCACACATTATGGTGTGGTGATATCTACACTTAGAGCTGGAAAGAAAATTAAGATGGAAACTCTGCTGACAAATAATTTGCAGTGTATCTAAACCATCACACTGTAACTCTTAATTCCAAACTGACAGACAATGTGCACCTAAATTTAAAAACAGGACAGTGATAATTTGTTGTGACGGTTTGAAGTAAACTGAAAATTATTTATTATTTTTTGAGTCAATTTCAACCTTAAAATGAAAATTTGATTCTGACATTTACATCAAAGTCTGTCACAAATTATATGCAGACTAATGGATGATAAAATCTTAATTAGACTTACATATTTACAGCTAATATAAGCAGCTCTCGACTTCCGTAACAATATGATGAAAATAATTTTGAAAAATATGACGATGGGTCGTGAATAATACCAGCTTGCTCTCCACTGAGAAATTAAAAAGAATAACTTACTCAAATCTGACACTAGCATCAGCCAGGAACTTCTTATCAAAGAGCCAGCGGAAGAAAACATCCAGGCTGGAAAACAGAGATGATTCAGTGAGGACAGCAGAGGTCAAAGTTCACCGAGGGACAGATTCTAACAACAAACTGTTTTTATTACCTGCTGAGTCCCAGAGACGGCAGCAGCAGAACCATGAAGATCAGGAAGGTGTAACACTTATGCATTGTCGTCCTGTTTTCTCCAGACCTGACGACACACAGAGGAGGTCAAATTAGGGTCAAATCACAATCAAATCAGAGTCAAATCAAGGTCAAATCAATGTCAAATCACAATCAATTTACAATCAAACCAGGGTCAAATCATGTTTAAATCACGTTCATATCACAATCAAATCAGAGTTGAAAAATGATCAAATCAGGGTCAATCATGGTCAAATCAAGGTCATATTAGAGTCAGATCAGGAACAAATCACAAATCAAGATCGTGTTAGGGTTGACACACAATCAAATCAGGATCAAATCAGGGTCAAAACATGATCAAAACAGGGTCATGTCAGGGTTAAATCTAGATCAAAGTGAATCATAACTGACAGACCTGATTTGGAATTTTGTCCCTGGCCCTTGCAGTATACGTGTCAAAGTGTCCTCAGGTAAAATACTGAACCCAACATTACTGTTTGATTGATATGTGCGTGTGAATGTTTATCTGAGGAGCAGGTGGCACCTTGTACGGCAGCCTCGTCCACCAGTGTGTGAATGTGCGTGTGAATGTGCCTGTAGACCTGATGCTGTAGTGTAAACCTGATGCTATAGTGTAGTGCTGATTCTGTAGTGTAGACCTGATGCTGTAGTGTAGCACTCGTAAATCAGTGTTACCTGGTCCAGTGAGCCTCGAAGAAGGCAGAGTAGTAGACGATGGTGGGCAGCAGAGCAGAGAAAGCCCAGAGCAGCAGAGTGGGGAAGAACTGAGTGATGATGGGATTCTGTCCAAAACAACCAACAAACAGCAGAGTCAGAAATGATGAATCATTTCAAATGACACCCAGCTTCACTGACAGGGTGGTGGTGGTTACTCACATTGAGATACTCCACAGGCTTGGTGACGTTGAACTTGTCCATGGTGGAGATGATGATGGCGGGTGTGGTGAGGAAGAAGAGCAGGAGGAAGAGGATGCAGTTGATGATGAAGCAGCGGATCCACCAGGAGATCCCACCGAGTGACAGATGCTCCCTGCAGGAGGAAACCAGGACGCATCAGCTGAGGGTGATGGGTGTGTTTGTTTGGTATTTGGTGGGCTAACCCTTGTGGACGTACCAGCGGATGTTTTGTGGGTCGGGTGCGTATGAAACGCTCCAGTTGTGAACATGAAGAACTTCGCTGAACTGAGAGGATCGTGGCTCCTGACGACACCGACATCCCTGAACCTGACAGGCGTTAAAGTCCTTCAAAATACTGTGAAAGAGTGGGTGGAGTCAGAGAGGGGAGGGGCGGAGGTCGAGAGAGGAGGGTGGAGTCAGACGGGGTGGGATCAGAGAGGTGAGGGTTGGGGTCAGAGAGGGGATGGGGTGGAGTCAGAGAGAGGCGGGGGTGCGGTCAGAACTGTACAAATATATTCTACAAAAACCTAAGCATCAAAGTATTTGTGCAACATTTCTTCCCCAAAACAAGACAAAACAAACAAACAACACCACTGTGATGAACTGCAGGAAAACAGGTAAAAACAAAAACAGTAACATTTCAATTTTTTGTCTTATCAGACTGTTGGTGGGAGGGGTTAGAGACAGAGGGGCAGGGTCATGCTGTGGCTCACATGGCGGTCATGGCCTCGTTCTGGAAGGTGACGAAGGCCATGCCCAGAGGTTTGGTGTGGACCTTCTCCTTCTCCTTCCTGTACTCCTCCTTCAGCTTGGCCTCCCTCTTGGTGTAGTAGCTGACCGCCTCTTCCTGCAGGACAAATGTAGGCTACTGAACCACCGCTAACAGGCTAACAGACAAATTAGACCAGGTGTCTCAGATCCAGATTATATTTATTTAGCCAATGAAGTGTTACCTACAAAATCTTCAGATTCTAAAGTGACGTCATGAAACGATGTGATGAAAAACTATTTTCATGCATGAAACGACACAAACAAACACACAGGTAGACTACAGACAAGAAAAAGCTGATTGTCATCATCAACATCTGTATTCTCTGTAACACTCTACTTTTAACCTGCTACAATAAAAATGTATCAGATAACCAGAAAACTTTTCACCAGCAAGAATAAAACTTTAACCGGCTGCAATAAAAACATAACGAGATTATGACTTTAACCACTTACGATAGAAATTAAATTGGCTTCAATAAAAATTTAACCAGCTACAATAAAACTTTCACCACCTATGACAGAACTTTAATTGGCTACGACAAAATTGAACAAACTACAATGAAACTTAAACCAGCTACAACAAAAATTCAACCACATACAATAAAACATTTAATAAAATTTAACAAACTATGATTAAACTGCAACGGTCTTGAACTTTAGTGAGCTAGTGTGACTGTAAGAAGAAAAATGCTCAGTGTAATCTGTCATCATGTACCAGGATATTAGCAAGATGAGAAAATAATTAACAATTAGTACATAAATTACGTGGTTAATTATTAAAATAAAGCTTCTGTCTGATAAGAAGCTAATTTGTGTGAAAAGAGCGTCAGCATTAAAGTCACCTCCTCGCAGCCGGCGATGGCGCAGCAGCAGAGGTGTCCGCAGGGTTTGGGGTTTATCATGGTGGGAACGTGTTCCTTCGCCATCAGGTCAGTGAAAAACTTCTTACTGCGCTCCGTCTTCTTCCTGACAAACATAAACACAACAACATTAAATTAATGAACTGTTCTCAGCAGTTAACATGGACCTGGAGTGTATCTCAGCATGCACTGAGCCTCGACTCGCTGTCTCACCTCTCTGCGTTCAGAGACATAAGTTTGGCCACGTTGTAGCAGATCCGAGCCTCCAGCACCGTGCAGTTCTCATACGCCTGTCTGAAAAATAATAAACAATAAAACATGTTCACATGTAATTTAATATACAAACCAGGAAACAAACTCATTTTAACACTACCTTATTAGAAAAATATTATCAAAGATTTTTTTTTTTTTACAACTTCTTATTCTGAATGAAGAAACGTAGCCCTTGAATCTGGACTGTCCTCTGACTGTACACATTTTTATTACTATTTAATATGTAAATAACACAGACTGAAAATATAAAGACTGAACACAAAGCTAGATGTGTCTTTACTTACTTCACCCCAGGTTAACCTGAATATATGACAACATCAAAATTCCAGTGGTTATGTGTTGTTTTTACTTTAAATTTGAAAAATTGTGAATACAGATGTGATCAAATATCTTGTTATTAACATTTTAACAAAACCAATGATCTCCTTCAGAGGATCTTTAAGTCACCAGTGATATGGTCGTCACTTCACTCAGCACAACATTTAGGCTAAATTACTATCTCCGACAAAAACCAACATTTACTTTTGAAATCAACATCATGTCAATAAATCGCTCGAGCTCATTTAGATTTTCGTGCACGATGTGAAAACACATTTTAATGTCCTCGGACATCTGAAGGAGCAGAAGGGTCATTAGATCAGGAAGAAGAAGACAGTGAACTTACTCAAAGTGCTGTTTGATCTGACTCTCCTCAGCGTATTTAGAGATGCCGTTAATGAATAAAGTGCGCTTCACCTGCAAGTCACAGAACTGGGATTAAAACACCGCACAGAGCAGACGTTATATATCCTCAGAGTTTGTCTGTTTTCATGTAACTTTAAGAATTATCAACATTTCAAGCAAATACATGTGTTTTATTGTGAAATCAGTGGCAGGCCTTTACTATGAAATAACCACAGGAAGTGGAAGTGAGGCTGAATTTGTTTGGACAGATGTGGACTTTTTTCAGCATTAGATATTTTTAACTCTACAGGTGAGGCTGTTTCATTGGACTTAATTATTCATGATTAAGACGTGTCCCCACCAGGTCGTCCTCCTTGTAGTGCATCTTGGACGTGTGTCTCCTCATGCTGTAGACGGTCAGCAGCAGATACATGAAGGCAAACGAAGTGTGCAGCCACAACAGATTCGTCCTGAGCAGAAAAAGAAAACACATTTTATTTAAAAATCTATATAGATGGAGCTAGGCTAACAGTTTCTCCCTGCTTTCAGTCTTTGTGCTAAGCTAGGCTAAACATGTCCTGGACCTGTCTATGTACTGGACACACACAGACATAAAACTGAGATCTGAAATGTTGGAGAGGACAGAGGAAGAAGACGTGTTGGACAAATGGGTTAAGTGCTGACTTGTCCTCCTTCAGTAGAAATCCTCCTGGACTCACCCAGACTTGAGGTTGGCTATCGTGGTGCGTCCAAAGCTGTAGGCGTTGTTTTCTGGAATAAATACAGGCAGAGGTCATCAGGAACATGTGACATCGTGACTGATTTCCTGTGTTTAAACATGTGAAGTTGTTTTTATAAAAATCACAGAAAACCTTGAGCGCTAACGACAGCTGCTGGTGAACTCCTGAAGTTTACCAAACGTTCCTCTGATGTTTACATAGAAACACACTCACAGTACCTGACAGATTAAGACTTGACTGCCAACGGTGATAACTCAGGAGTTCACAAAAACTCCACTGACTCATTAAACTTTAGCACCACAGTTCAAAGCTCTTTACATTTAGAGGTGGTGACATTTTAATGTTTTGCCTTTTATTTCACTTACTAGCTGCGTTAGCGTGTGGAAACATAGCACCCACTGCCCACCCTCCAACTTCCACTGGTTAGCTAATGTTAGCCTTTGCCGCTCTGCACTGCGCACCAACATCATCAATCTGCAGAGCCAGAGAGCCACCGTTTAAGACATGCGCATGAGCAAGCTCGAGCTCAAGGGGGCGGAGTATCTGTCAATCATTCTTTAAAAATGGCCAATCAGAGGCCCACAATCCTTTTGACTGACAGGGCACAATCACTTCACAGTAGTGGGAGTAGTCAACATTTCAACTAGCCAACTATGCTAGCGCTAGTTAACCTCTATGTATCTATTCCCCGATCATAACGAAATATAGTAACTTCAACCACTGCTCATTTTAGAAGGACCACTGCATGAAAATGTGTTCTTTGTTTAAATTTTCAGACAGTTAACAGACAATGAATCACAGTCGTTTGTTTCTGGCTGCCAGCATTAGCTAGCTGAAAAGTCGTCTATTTCCACTTCAAAGTGTTAAAAATGCTGCTGTCTGCTGATACTCTGTCAAGGGTTAATGTTAGAGAGGATGGTCCGTAGGAACAAGTCTGCCTGTCCCGAGGGTAGGGCACAAAACCCCTCCCTCTGGTTGTTCTAGCGGAGGAGCAGATCACAGCCTGGGTCAGCGAGGTTTGACGGAAGCTGTTTAGGAGCTCAGAGCCAGGACGCTTGTCATATTATTCCCCCGGAGGGTTGTTACTGTCGACCATTGATTTTAGGATTAATGCAAGCTAAAGTATCAACAGACTGCAACTTTTTTAATCAACATTTTGGAAATGGAAAGTGGAAAAAGACAACTTTTCAACTAATTTAGCTAGCTACGCAAGGTAACGCTGGCAGCCAGAAATGAATGTCTACTATCAACCATCAGTTTGATAATCTAAATAAAGAGCATGTTTCCTTGCGGTGAACCTCCTAAAATGAACTGTGGTGAAAGTTCCTATTTCTGTGATGATCTATGATTAAGGAGATGAAAAGCAAACAGCATTAGCTAGCGAGCTAGTGCACTAGCTAGTAGAAAAGTTTTCTACTTAACGTTACACTTTAAACAACCAATTGTGAACGCAATGTTAATGTTATTTTTACTTTGTCTTAAATATAAATTTAGCAATCTCCATCCGTAAAACATAAAACTGAGTGTCTGTTACTCGCACATGTGCATGTCCAAAACAATGGCTCTCCGGCTCTGCGGGGATGTTCCTCCTGTGCACCACCAGGGTTGAGTGGAAGCTAACGTTAGCTATCGTGCCAGTCATTTGGCAATTACCTCTGGTAAAGCCGTCCTGGTGACATGAATCACTGCTGTGGAGAAATTGTGCCCACTCTCCAGTGTCCCCCAACGTCACCCCAGTGAGTAAGCGGCGTCATTTTAAGCCACAAAACCCCTTTAGCATTGTTGACTATGTTAGCATCACTAGCCATGCTGACACTGCTAACAGTGCTAGTTAACACTGATAACATAGTCAACTATGCTAAAGAGGATAAAAATTGAGCTGCTTACTTACAGGGGTGAGCCGGCGGAGACCAGAAGGTGGACACAAAGTTTCCATAGCAACGCTGTTGCGTCAGGACGGTGTTATTAGCAGTAATTGCTTAATGAGCAGCGCTGTTAGCTAGCTCCCACCTGACCCGGCTGGAGCACAGTGCAGTACACTGAGGAGCAGTAAATGCCCAATTCAGATCAATAACACAACATGAAAATAATGATGTAATACTGATCTGATGAAGATAAAACAAAGATACACAGCAGCATAACAAGTTATAATGAGCTCCAGCTTTATCAGCTGCAACAATAGAGTGATGAACACATTTAATACATCAATAATTAAAATAAAACTTATATTCTGATACATATTTTTCTAAAATGAGCCATTCAGCATAATGACTACTTTCATTTGTACTTTAAGTACATCTTGATGCTAACAAGACCACAATCGCTGTTAATACAAAACTACCTGATCAGACTGAGTCCAGGTTGAATTAAAAGCACTATCTACCATCAGACAGCAAACACAGACCTACAGACCTACAGACAGACCTACAGCTCCAGCCTGACTGCTGTTACCTTCTTTAGAAGGAGGTCCAGGGACTCCTCGGCTTAGGAAAGCATCTTTACTGATAATTCTGACTAAAATCAATCAGACACAAGGTGAGAACTCTGTGAGCGGCTCAGACAGAAACGCTCCAGGGTACAAACTATTTAAACAAACTGACATTTCAGACATCGACAAATGTTTCTCAACAGGTTATAAACAGAGAGTGAAAGAGTAAGAGTGAGAGTGAAACATCTGTAACATCACTGTGCTTCATAGCTGAGATGTGACCTGTAACATCTGACTGATAGAACAGATCTTTTATTAGAAGCTAAATGTTTTGTGTCAAATCGGTGACAGTATTACACCTTAACATGTGGATAGAAAGCAGTGTGTTTAATGTGTGTTTAATGTGTGTTCTGGATCAACTAAACTTAACAGCACAGTCTGGTTTATGTATGGGCGGAGATAGCAGTCAAATGTTAGCGATAATGCTCCACCGTCCGTTTGCAATTCACCATTTAAAAAGAAGATGAAGAAGAAGAAACACTGGATCGTTTCACCTCTGCAGGCCGTTAACACATGTATTATTTTTAAAACTAATATTTTTCACAACGTAAATTTAAAAAAAAAAAAATATCCGTCCATCGTTTTACAAAATATCTCCATCCACACCAGAATCCAAAAATAGTGGCGATAAACGCTGGGTCAGCGTTACGTCAAATACCAGAGAAGAAGATTCTAACAATAGGTAATTAGATTATTTTTCTCTGGCAATATGAACAAATCAAATAATAATAATTTCTGTATTTACACATAACTGACACCTTTCACGGTGCTGTGGCAAAACCGACATGTGACTCAAATATGCAGACAGATGACGAGATACGTAACAAACCAGGAGTCCGCAATTGTTCAGCACGCTCATTCCACAAAGCAACAGTGGGTATGTGTGAATTGAGGTGATGATGTCATCATCTCCCAAACACGCCATTTTACACCCACGAGTACAAAAAAAAACCTGCAGCTTTGAAAAATTATGTTTTTATGACCTGACGGCCAAAACATGGAAGAAAGTGTGCGTGCGACAGAGCTCAGAGCTCGAAACGTTATTTAAATAAAGCCGTTGTCGTGGGCCAGAAGACATTTCTCTGATTTAATGGGTCACACAGTAAAGTTTCTGGCTCCTGATTGGTCACCAGTGTGATTCTTATGTTCTCACCGAGCAGGTCTCCGGAGAAGTTCACAGGCAAGACGATGCCCACGGAGAGGACGCCGACCACGACCAGCAGGCCGATGATGTGACGCTGGAAGGACAGGTAGTGAACAGCATCCTCGCCACACTTCTCCCTAATCTCTTCATCCCTGCAGGATAAGGAGGAGGAGGAGTAAGAGAAGGAGGAGGAGGAGGAGTAAGAGAAGGAGGAAGAGGAGGAGGAGGAGGAGGAGGAGGAGAGTCAACACAAACCCAAAAACTGAAGCAACATCAGCAAACCTGGATCCATGAAACTGTGATGATACTCACTTTATTCTGAAGATGGCCGTCAGCCACGAGCAGAAACCCTGCAGGTACAAACACACAACAATCAGGAGGAGGAGAAAGAGACAGGGAGGAGGAGGAGTGATGAAGGAGTGATGTCCTTACGTTGTCTCTCTGGTCGAAGTCAACAGAGGAGGAGACGGAGGTGAGGCGTTCGTAACGGTCGGGTGTCTCCGAGTGCATCGCCGAGGCAACGCTGTGGACACACACAGGAAGCGGTCAGCTGACTGTTAGCTTTTAGCATGTAGCCACTCTGACCTTTGACCTCTGGGTCTGACAGCTGAGTTTAATTGAGATGGTGAACACAAAGGAAGCTGTCTCCTGCACGTCTGTTTTCCTTTTACTTTAAACAGAGGACGCTTCCAGTGCAGTATTTCTACTTTTAAAAGGATCTGACTACTTCTTACATCACTGGTTGTGTGGAGTTAGCTAAGGAGTTAGCTAGCTAGCACGTCACAAGGTTTACAACACAGTGAGCTACATACACACAAAGCCCGTTACCTTTTGACCGGCTCATAGTTATCTCTGTCTCGTCTGCGGCTGAATTAACGTTAAAAATGAAGACAAGTGTGGAGCAGCGTTAGCATCACATCTGTTAGCATCATAGCTGTTAGCATCACATTAGCCAACAGGGAGTGATCCACACACACACTTTTCCTTTAAATACTAAACACACACACACACACACACACACACACACAAACTCAGATAAAGTCACATCAGTATTGATAGTGTATGGGGGGTGATCAGTGCTACCTTGAAACTGTTATCCAGAATTGAATTTAAAATCCTACTGTTAACTTATAAAGCTCTAAATGGTCAAGCTCCGTCATATCTTAGAGAGCTCATAGTGCCATATTATCCCACCAGAACACTGCGCTCTGAGAACGCAGGGTTACTCGTGGTCCCTAAAGTCTCCAAAAGTAGATCAGGAGCCAGAGCCTTCAGCTATCAGGCTCCTCTCCTGTGGAATCATCTTCCTGTTA